AATATACATTAAAAAAATTATATCAAATTATGTGTGATGAGATAGAACTGAAAATCGAGCATAGTTACTGAAATATAATAGTATGCTTATCCTTCATCTTTTTTTTCTACTCGTTTAGTGCAATTTGTGTCCTCTATATTTTAATAAAAGTCAGAAGTGAACAGTTCTATCAGGTGTTCTGATAAAATTTCATAGTAATATATAATATAATCTGTAAATATTTCATAAGTACAGCAAATTGATATTGTATTAGCAAATTCGAATTTAATAAATTATACTGATATCAAATCATATGATTTTTGTTCAATTTCTTAATTATTAAATATATTTATTTTTCATTTAATTATATTTATTTAAATAATTATTTCAGTAAATTTTAATTTTTCAAAATTGAGTCTAATTAAATATTTCTGAAAGCACCTTGTATGAATTTGGACGTTAAGGATAGCAAGTAGGAGTTCCACAAAAGGAGTGGTAATTTATTAAAAATATTTCTCTATTTTTTCAAAGAATTTTCTTCTCATTTTTATTACATTATTTCCGTAGAAATACTATTTTTCAATAAATTGTAAATTGGTAATATAAAATAGTGAACTAGTCGATCAGCAGAAATTCCATAAAACAGGGGAGGCTAGAATTTGAAACATATTTTTTCTACAATTTCTTTTAAATTTGCTTCATCTCACGAAGTAATACTATTCAAAAAAAAGTTTTCAGATTTATTACTTGATGATTTTTGAGGGACGTGGAATTTTTTGAAACCAGTTCAATTATATTTTGATTTTTATGAATTACATTTCAATTGAATAATACGACATAGTCGCAATAAATAACTTGCGAACCAACGTGGGTAGCAAAGTTTGTCAAATTATTCAATCTACTAATATATCATTCTTTATTTAGATAGCTTGCATAAGACAATTGAACCTTTGCAAATTTAATGATGGAATTTTACTGGAAAATCTAATATTTTACATTTTTTTAGATAAATAATTTCAATGTTTTTATTAAGCGGGATAACAAAAATCACAAAAATATAATGTGATTGTTTGCAAAAAAAATTTCATAAAATATTTATGAAAGATTTAGTAAAAAAAAAGTACTTTAAATCCAATCTACCTATTAAAAAGAGCCGTACTATAATGTTAGATTTTGCTTTCCTTTATGGTTGCAATTCCAATTCTCTGAAATTTGTTTACAGATTTATTAATGAACGACAATTTGCTTCTGAATGATCTAAAATGCATCCAGTTAGTATTTTAAAATTGATAACTGCTATTGAATGCAATCATCCAGTAATTTATATAATCGTGTTTTCCTGGTAGATTAACCTTGAGACCAAACGCATGCCAACTCTTTGCATTTAGTGCACACGCGACGTCGTCTATTTTTTATTCATTTATGGATTTGTTTTGAAAATGCATTTCTAATAATTCACAATTTACATAATAGATATCAAGTACTAAAGTCCTTTCTTCTTCATCTTTTTGATATTTTTTAGGGTATACCTAAACTACAGTTTTAACACTAAAGTACTAATATCTTTTTGGCTCTAAAAAGTTTAGGTTTTCAAATCAATAATTTTATTAAATATTTTCGGTGAAATTTGAAGTCCACTTTAAGTATAAATTTGATATCACTGCTGCTTGATACCAAGCTGGCCGAGGTTGGTATCGAACCCGGAATCAGTTTTTAACACAGAATAACGGCTAGCTTATATAAGAAATGAATAAATATATAAATCAAATAACAAAATAATAATTAAACAACCAAGTGTATAAATTAACCATAGATGAATACATATCTATATTTGACCTTGTTTATTATATTTTTATTTTATTTAAATTAAAATTCTGTGATATCAAACCTAAAGTTCAAGTTGCTGATTTTTGCCCCGAAAGTGGCAATCTGAATAGATAAGTCTGCGTACTTTGTTACTATTATTAAAAAATGGTAAAGTAATAAATTAATAAATCCATTATTGATGGATGTTACAAATATAGTATATATGTAATAATATTGCGATCTTGTTTTTAATTTGTTATTGAAAATATACGTTTAACCTTACCTTAAACTTGCGTGTCTCTAATGATCTTAACTGCTGGAAAATTATCTATCCGGGTTGTCATTTTTAAAGTTGCATCTATAATGAAGACAATACTTACTAATTCATTGATATTGTTCTTTTCCAAAGCTTACCATATTTTTTTCAAACATTTTATTTTAAGTCCCAGACGATTTATGGTTTATTATGGTTTCATTTTTTATTGATTAAATAGAACGAAGGAAAATTTCTGTAAAATATTTTGTGAGAGATAATTAGATAATTTGAATCATTCACAGTAAATTACTAATCAATTTTGTGAAATTAAATAAACCTGAAAATTTAAATAAAAAATATTTGGGTTTATCCTATATTTATTTGATATATTGTATCACATTAGAGGAATTTCACTACATCTTAAGTCTTGCTCCATTTTTCGTATCATATAGGAATCAACAAACATATATTGCATAACAATTCATATCTATACATAAAACATATTGATTAAAAAAATGTTTTTTATTTAAATGCAAAAATCTAAGTTTATCCAAATTTTTCCAAATGCTTGCTCTTGTTTTACGTATAGTATGAATCAGTTATTGGGCTATGTATGAAATATATATTAAAATAACTTTAACAAATCTCCGGTTATTAATAATTAATATACACATAATGTTGCTAATTCTTACATGTTTATGCTACTTCTACTGTTACTAAAATTTATTACCAAATTTGGTAATATTTAAAAAAAAATAAACAAAAATCTTTGAAGCAAATTGTTTGATTATCCTTATAATACTTGGTAAAGGAATATAAAAAATACGAAAATAGAATAATATACTACATAATATAATTTTCTATGAAAAAATGCGTTGATTTAGCTAAATATATCTATAAATTCAAATATTTTTCTACTAAATATGTGAGTATATAAAATGATATTGCAAATTATCCCGTAATCATCATACCTGAACTTGAGAAATTGATATCAAATACGTTTTTAAAAATACTAAGCAAAAATTAATTTTTGATAAAAAGTCAAAATATTATGTTTTTTAAAATATTATCAACAAATAATATTATTTCTCTTTATCTTATTTCGTCTATAATGAATCCAATTTCGGTAATTGCACTTCCAAAAACTTTAGTGCGTTTTTATAGAAATTGTTGCCAATAAATTGTGTTCTGCACCTATAACACAGCCAGAAATGATCAAATATATTGCTTAATAAAATAGTAATAATATATAATATTAATAATAATAAAAAATAAATCTGAGACTTATAATACATATCAGGTAAATATAAAAAATCAAAGAATAAATTAGTAAATAAGAAAATAAATATATAACTATGTTTTAGATATATCATCATAAGTAATTTTTTTCACATTTATCAAATTCTTTACTACTTACAAATATTGATTTACTTACATTCAACAACATTTCTAAAGTAATACGCTTATTATTAGATGTCAATCTTCAAAAATATTGACTGTTTTTCATTAGTATGAGAGAAAGCTATTCCATATAAAATAATCTAATTAGAGTGAACTTTCTTCTTCACTTTTTAAATCAAATTGTTTTCCATCATATAAAACACCGAAACACATAAAAATTTACGTTATAAGTACCTAAACATACATATTTTTATAATATAGTAAAAAATACATTAAATTTTAGTAAAAAACATTTTTTCTAAAATGTATTTTTGCATTAAATATAAATATGTATCATATTATATACATAACGAATAATCTAATGTATTATATAATAAATGACCTATATTTTAAATATGGTATTTACATGGTTTTGCGATTTTAGCACCTTTGGTGGAATCACACTTTTTAGGCGCCTATATATAATGGTATCATTACACTTTTTTGGAGTTTACATCACACTTTTTCTGGTTCATTTGTTACATCTATAAGCTTGTTCTCTTCGAGCGTAAGTTTGGTATTTTCCTTAGTGTCTGGTATGATTTGTGGAGTTTCTTCTGATAAATTTTGGGAATTATTTTCGAGGTTTTTAGCTTCTTCTGGTTTGAAGATGCTATCAGATGAAGCGTTGGATGTGTGGTCTAATCCAGTCATCTGAAGTCTTAATTCGTCATTGAGGTTGTCATTTACCTCCATGGTATCACTATCCCAGGATTGGCTGCGAAGTGAATTTACCCGAGGTGTGACACAACCTCCGACCCAATGCTCTTTCCACGACTCTAACCTCATGACCTGCGATAATTTTCATTAGAATTTTGGAAAAAAAAAAACAGATTCATTAGAAATGCTAACATTCAGATAGATCATACATTCCCTACAAGGGAAATATTCACGAACAGTTCTCAACATTCTGAATTGAGACATCAAGAAATGATATCAATTTCCAATATTTATAGGAGAACTATCGTTTATTTCTTTCACAAGCACTAATACGTTCATTATTAACTATTGCTTTTATTAGAATTTCAAAGATGTCCTCAGATTTTTTACATTTGAACCAAAGGAATGACTATTATCATAAACGTTTTAACTCCATATAACGATTTTATTATACTAATAACTAATTTCTACAGCACAAAACTACCTAAATATATAATAATATTTATAACAAATAACATGCTAGGCGTGCGTGAAGTATTTTATACACTAAAAAACGATTTATAATAAACAAACATGCAGGGATATAAGTATTAAATATTGAAAATTTAGGTTTAGAAGATTAAAATCCACAGAAGGGCAAATTCTTACAAAGTTAATTCTGAAGGGAAGGGAATATGATTTATGCATTAAAGTTAAATACTCATTCGAATATTCGATTATTTTGGAACCAAAATTAATAAATCTATAATCGATAATTATAAAAGAGGATTATAAAAACAAATTAAGATTTTATTTTACGATCTAATGAAGATATGAGAAAAAAATTAAAAAGAAAACATGCTTGTATGACATGCGTGACTTACTCGAGCCATTTCCAAGGCTCGGTCTCTGGGCTCATGATTGGTGTCGGAAACTATTCATGAAGAAATATGACATTTGTTAGTGTGTTATAAGACCCTGTGAAATGAGTTTTCCCAAAAAGATAATAAAATCAACTGAAAAATACACTTGAAAAAGACTGAAAACAAGTAAAAATACTGTATTATATAATTATAATTAAAATTTTTGAATAATTGCACTGAAATATTTAGGACACAAAATCTTTTTGGGAAAACTTAAATTAGTAGGTGTTTAATCAATTGAGCTTTTATATATATAAAAATGTGTGCAAATTAAGCACGGGCTTTTGAAATACAATTATTTCGTAATACCCGTGTGTATATTTGCGTCAATAAACTCTTCTGTTAATAATTAGATTTTTAACACAGCGTTAATATAATTAGCATTGTTAGAAGCGTGTTTATTATTTTTACAGTGAGTTGAAACAAAAGCAAAATTTGTGATATTTTATATAAAATATTAGCTTTATTTCAAATAGAAATACCTCGGCTTTGAGATCGGCTACTTTATCTTGAAGCTCGCGAACTTTATCACTGTCATCCAAATTGCACCGGAGTTCGCCTTCTGCAACCATTTCTTCATTCTAAAATAGAAAAATCAACATAGATATTTATTACACGGAATTGTTTAAACTCAGCAAATCTTTTTTCTTATTTGTTATTCAAAATTACCTTCATTTGCAACACTCCAATTTTTTGCATCAGCTCCGCCACGTGTTGGGCGTGCTCGGCATCACGTATTTTTGCCATCATCTGCTCATCTTTCATCCTGCTTTCTAAATCTGTATATCTATAGAAGAGAAGAAATTCATTAATTAAAACACATCTTGTCAAAAATATCGTTAAATTTTAATGAATTGAAAGAAATCAATTATTCTGGCACAAACGAAGATTCAATGCAGTTTCCTCCAAACATGTGTTATGGATGTCACGGAATCCAATATATGTTCGGTATATAATTTTTTTTAAATAGTCTAGTTAAGTTTAGAAAATAACACATTTTAAATATATTATATAAATCTAACTGTAATAATTTACTAATAGTATTTGATACATATACATATTTGATGTAATTTTCAATGTAACAAACGGACCTATGTTGCTGTTCCTTGCTCTTAGCAGCCTGCTCTTTCTCCCTTGTCAAGGCAGATTCAATTTCATCCTTAGTTTCTTATTTTCCTCATCTTGCCTTCGTAATTGATTTGTAGAGACTTGTACTTGAGTTTCTAATTCCATTACCTGCACAAAACATAGTTAATTAGAACTAATTATTTCTACACGTAGCAGGAATTTATTAGAGCATTTATTTACCTTTAATCGCAATTCTTTAAGCTCGGTCAACGTCTCCATTTCTCGAATGCGTGTCGTCATCAATTCTTCTTCTAATTTTTGAGTTTCGTTTCCGCGATTTTCCCAGAAAAGTAATTTCTTGGGTGTGCTATCTGGAGCTGGATTGGATTCTTGTTTGTGCTCCTAAATAGAACAAATATTTGATATAATACTTGTGGATTAGTTAGATTGAAGATTTTTTTATTTGATATCATCTGATTTCTTCTCAAATAAAACCCATTGATAAAATTATATGACAATTATTTCTTACTAACCTGTAAATGCCTCTGCCACTGGGCAGCCAATTCTTGAACTCTTTGCCTCAAATCTTTGAGAGACAAATTAGCTTCGGCTTCTCGCAATTTAACAGCAATGAGTTCTTCTTGTAAATGAGCTACAGAATTATCAGGAGTGGTTTCTCGCAAACTTTTCTTTTCCTAATAAAATTAAAAATCAGCATAAATTAATAGTTTTATTGTTTATAATACGGGATTAAATCATTTCTGGATACTGGGCATCAAACGTAGTAATTCACACAAAATCCAATTAAAGCTGATAATAAATAAAAATTGGTAATTAATATCAGTAATTCAAATATTATAGAATTTAAAAAATTAATTTTGTAAAAATCTTCAACATTGAAAAAAAAGAAACACAAGACATGCAGTTTTCACATTGCGTTTTGATAATGTGCTGAACGCCAAGTTGACGAATACATGAAGTCGTTATTTGTAGATTTTGATTTTAGAGCAATATTTTCAATGATAGATATGATGCCATGAACTTGATCATTTTATTCCCCAATATTTTGATTAATTACAAAAGCATGCTTTGTAACAAATATTTATACAAGCTCTTATATTTATTCCTGAAAAATGTACACTGTACAACGACCATACATACAACATTTACACAAACCTCTTCAAGCTCATTAATCCTAGCTCTGAGGTCGCGGATCAAGGCGTCATTCTCGGCCTCGCGTAGCCTCACTTTGACCAGCTCCTGCTGTAAACAAGTCACCATTTCTTCTTTCTGTTTTAACGATTCGTCTTTCATGGACAGTTCATCCAAAGACGATTGTCGAGACGTATGCTATCGTGAAAATCATACAAAAAATAACCACTTTGGAAAAGAAAATCAAGAAAAATATAATTGATAATTGAATTTAAAATAAAGTATTGTAACCTAATTGTGAGTAGTTTTTGCGTTAAAGCGAGCTTGTTGAACAACTCTGAAACCGCGGATGAGAAGCACTGGGAGACTGAGCAGTCTTCGGAAAAAAAGAAATTTGAATGAAATTATTTGATTTATCTAAATCTTCTGGCGATGTTGATAAAAACAAAATAAAGCATATCAACTTCAAAGGGTAGATATTCAACCATACTTTGCAGATTGCTTAATCAGTATTTTTGATAGTGGTCGCGATTCATAGTTTTAATAAATATATATAATTACTAGAAATCAGTAATTGTTCCTTTATTTATTCAGTCTTCTAGTGGTAGATCATGATTGCGCGTCAGAGCTTTCAAGCCGTTTATATTACAGCGTTTGTTAATGTAACTGCTAAAGCAAATTATAATAAACTAAACTAAATTAAATTACTGGTGAAATAAAAATAAATTAAGGTGTTATAAGCATAGCCCATCAATAGCATACTATTTGTCTCTTTGTGATTCGTGTAACATTATCGCATCGATAATATACAATAATTATTAATATATATTACATTATTTTTAAAATTGTGTTCATGCATACAGAAGCATTTAATTGATCGACTAAAAGAATTAATCAGCGGTTTTTTAATTCTTTAGTTCTAGTATTGAATATGCATAATAATACATCATGGGAAGCCATTTAGAGTTATTCCGTTTAGTTTTTTTTACAAAATTAAATTACAAAAATAAGCTTATCGCAAAATTATAAATAAGCATGCATAATTTTGTTAAATGCCAATGTTAGTACTGATAACATAAACATACAAACCAATTAAATTATGTTAAAACAAACATTAGGTTTACATATACAAATAAAAATAATTCAGGTTTTTTTTCAAACTTAGATTAAAATATACAACCACTATGAGCTTCAGCTCTTTATAGTGATTTTATTGAATTGTTAAGGTAATCAGTATTTTTATATACGAGATTTTGTTATAATTTTTCATGCGTACAATAATTTATACAATCTTAAAATTCCAAATGGCTACTCACAGAATCTAAAGATCCGGCATTATTCTGAAAAAGTTCAATTTTTATTTATTTTTGAAAAGTAGACTTTTGAATATAAGACAATATAATTTCATTTATCCGCAGTAATACATATTTAATTCCGTTTTTCTTAGCTAAGTTTAAATGTAATTCGATTTAAAAAAAAAGTGAAAGTTTTAAAGTAAGTTGCAATATGCTAAATCTAACACCATTTCCATCACCGGTTAGTCTGTATCATAATGTTCATAAAAATTTACTGATTTTATTAAATACAAAAATCTAACAATTACTACATTTTGTTCTTTGAAATATGTAAATAAAACTGTGCCTCAAAGTTTCTAACAGCTAATATCTTGCATTTGTTAAAAAATATTTTATATAAATTGTGCCTAGTATGAAACAAATTTTATGAACATAATTAATAGTTGGTTAATAAGTGTTAACTTCAACAAAAATATATGTGACCCATAACCATGGTGCAAGTGAAGAATATGTGAAAGAGATTATTAAAAAAATATTGTATATAATATAATCGGGTATTAATGAAATCGACTTACTTGATCCTGCAACATAAGACTGAGTGCCCGTATTTCTTCATGAGCATTTTCTAATTGGTGTGTGGTTAAAAGGTGTGTATGCCTCAAAGCTGCCAATTCCCTTTGAACAACATAAGTTGTTTCCTCTTCTTCAGCTCGGCTAACTTGTCCTCGAACAAGCCTATCGGCTAATTCTGCGCTTTCAGCTTCTAAAAGCTCGTTGCGTTGTCGTAAAAGACGATTTTCGTTCCTGAGCCTCTGTATTAATAAATAATTTTTAGAACTGTAATATCAAATTAAAATTGATTTATAAACGTACTCTCAGCTCAATCATTTCTTCTTGTTCTTTAGTCTTGATGACGGTATATTCTTTTTCAAGCTTCTTCATCTTTTTCGAATTAATCTTTATATTATAGGCATTATTCATAAGTCCTTCAGGATCGGCTTCCGCACGCGGTGGTAATTCCTTTTGGAAAAACTACAGAAACCCAATATATGATTTTTCTGATAATTTAATATAATTTTGTTTTGTATTCATACCTTAAGCATGCCTTCCATATCTAAACACAGCAGATCAGCTTTGGCAAGTCCCAACATTGCAAGAGCCACTTTGAAAATAATTTCCATACCTTCTGATAGAAATACATCCATTACTCGGCATGCTAATGGTAAACTAAGTGCAGTTGTAAATAATGTCAAGAACCAACTGCTTGCATACATCGATGTATGGAAGCCCTGGAAAGATTATTATTCATAGAGTCATTCATTTGTCTCAGTGACGAATTCAACAGCAAAATTTATTGTGGTAATTTTACTACCTGTGACTGAAAATGTACATGAAGTTCAGGAATTTGATCTTGTACCAAACTTTCTAATTGGAACATACATAAGCCAAGTTCGGCCATACTTGGCTTGAACATATCTCGCATCCTGTGCTCTTGCATTATTTTTACCAGAACAGCAAATGCTTCTTCTTCTGGCATCTACAAAATATATTTGTTATTAATAAATATTTTTCGCAATAATGTTTCAACCATAATAATGTATTTCAATATATACAAATTTTTCACTCACTTGCATGAGTAAAAGGCCGACTATGAAACCAGATCCTTGGCAATATCCTACGACTTCACGATCGTGAAGAGAATACGCTTTCATAACGTTAAATAGACTTTCTTGTCCTAAACCATCTTTCTCCTTGAAAAAATCATGTTCGGGGTACGTGCGAGCTATATCGCGTCGTATTACCTTCTCACAAGCGGACGTTGCCTGAAATATTAAGAACCAGATTATATTTTCAACCTGAAAGGAATTTCAGATGTTTAGTAATTTTATACCTTAATATATTCGGCATATTGCTTCTTATCAGGTGAATCATGTGCGCCACACAGTAGCTGCCAAACGATACCTCTGAAATGATGAGGTACTCCTTTCCTAACCAGTTCCTTTATGCAAGGCTGATTCCTATCTCCACCTGATCCACTTCCTACGGGTACAAGGGAGGTTTTTCGTTTGCCGGTTGCGGCGTTGTACGCGTCCCAATCAGCTACTATCCTGGACCAGAGAGACCATTGGTCTTCTTCACCAGATCCCGGAGCGGATCCCGGACCGGAACCCGCTCCGCCATTCTCAGAACCGGCGCAATCCACGCGATCGTGGCCTGAACTCGCTCCTGGTAAAATTAGAATTTCAATAAAATTGGCGATATAATGGACATGCATTAATTAAAATTATCATTGGCACATTAAGCAAACTCGTGTACAAGACAATGCTAATCGAATTCCATTATTAGTATCACCCTGAAAAACATTGAGTTAATTCTAATCAGAATATGCTCCGTATTTTTATTCTTATTCGAATCAAATGGGATTAGATGTGAGTCAATGCGAAGATGATTAATTTCATGCTTCTTAATATGATGCACAATAAAAAACATTTTTTGACACTATCTTGAAATAATGCTGTTTAGAATTCTGAAAAATCCCAAATTAAACATAACACACAACAAAATGATTATTTTCTCAAAACCAAGAAAACCATATTAGTGAGAAAAATATACATATAACATATATGTTACGAAAATAAAAGAAATCATATAATATATGAAAGTAGCCGAGCAAATATATTTAATGATAATGTGATCACCAACACGATGATCCAATAGCACTATTTATTAACAAAAATTAAAACACATAATATACAAAACTTTTACCCATGTTTTATTATTGCAAATAACATTCAACCAAACATTATAAATATACAAAAAATATTATATTTCTTTAACCCACCACCAGTAACAAGCACCCGATTGTTAACGGACAATGAAACTATTAATTCTTTGGAATCATAAATAGTTACCATCATTTAAAAAAATATTTCGTCCGGAATCTATTTGTTTGACAGTTATATATTGTAATTTCCTCAGACCCTATATATGGAATGTAATATATTAATATTTTCAACACATTTATATTAGTATTTTATTTAGATTCACACTAACAGACATGGCCATTTCCAATATTTTCTCTTCGTGTATATTCATATTGAGTTCTGAAGTTTTACAATTATAATCAATTCAAAATCATTCCTCGAATATATACAAGATTGTTTTAAGTCTTCGGTCTGCGATCATTCTTTCAAAATAAAGCCTTTGGGATACCTATTATTGAATTGTTAACATTAAGTTTTATTTTGATTTAAATAAATTTAAAGTATTAATTCTGAGTTAATCGCAATAATAAAACATGGTTAATGGTTCTTAAATCGATATCATTCTATTAGCAAATACTGAAAAAATTTAAGTATGCGTTAGTATAATTAGTGAAAGTGAGATAATTTAATGTTATGTGCAGATTAGTAGAAGTTGAATTTTCTAATATTTAAAGGACTGTTTATTTTATATAAAAAATGGGTTAGCAAAATATCATACAACATGCTGTTTTAATGGTGTCTCATTTTTTTATATACAGTCAATAATTATTATGTAAAAAGGATTATTAATATTATTAATATTATAATCTTTTAAAAGCATTTATAGGCATGCGAATTAGTAATATTATTTATTTATATCTACAATATGCTCAAAAAATTTTATACCAATTTTATTTTATATAACAAGTTATTTACCACTAGTTAATGATATCTGTGATGTATCAGAACTCTTCCTGGAATGTCCAGATGCTGAATTTCCTGACAATGAATTTAAACTTTTTGCATCAGATTCAATGAGGCGATTTGCCTCCTCCAGCTTTGCTAACAGGGCCAGTTCGCCGGTAGGCAATGAACTGTTATTATTCTCTGTAAAATCACAATTTTTATTATTTTAATAACAAGTTTCTTATTGGATTTATAACAGTTTTACGATGGAAAGTCTTAGGAATGTGACAGATGGACAGTAAATGACAGAAGAACGTGACGTTAGGTTATGTGGGCTGTGATACTGCTGACTTCACGTTAGATAGCACCACGTGTAACTGTCAAACAGCTGTCAAATAGCTGTCAATTTTTATTAGTTTCTTATTGGATTTTTATTATTTTTAATTAATTATTTAGCAACGAATATATGGAGAATATGTTAAATTCATTGATACCTATCGTTGTTATGATTAATTGAATACCTTATCTTGTGACTAATTTCTTATCAGCTAAAACCAATATACAGAGTCGAATTAGACACTGTTGGAGGCGCCAAAATGGTAAAGTTGTGAGTCCTATAGTTTGCGGTTTATTATTATATTTATATGTTGTATATTATATTTTTAAATATAAATAATTTCAATTACAACGTGAACGTGAAATATAGATATGGTGGTATTAGCAAGCAAGCATTCTAACGATTCACATTTTTCGAAACTTTCACGAATATGGTTTAATGATTTTTTTAAATTCTTATAGTATTTTCACTAAACTGCAAATTTTGAATTTCTAACCACTGAAGTCTATCCCTATGAATGTAAATATTTAATTCAAAATAGCTTTGGTAAAACGAGCAGAAAATAATATTTTCACAATGTCTTATCACTAGCACTGAGTACACTTGATTGCACTTGTTGATAATTTTTCATACGATAAGCAAAAAGTTATAAAATCGCTTTTTTTCTACAAAAATGAAAATTTATTTGTTACACAGAGTATATGCTAGTGTGAACTTTTGAATTGAATTGACTATTACGAAAGCAAGAGTTTGTCAAGTCAGCTTTGTAGTCTTTTATATAATATTTTTCAGTAAGCAAAATGTTTTGTTTTTGTTAAGTAAGCAAAATAACAATTATTTGGAAAACACGAGCATAATAAACATTTATAATTCTTTATCTTAACTTAAGCACGTAGATAATTAAAATTATATGGTATAATCTTAAAAATATTTTTCAGTGAATAGAAAAACATATGGGTATTATTTTTAAACATATGGATCGTTATTGTAAATATTTGGAAATGAATAATATGAAATTCCGATAAAGTCACATTCTTTTCATTAATGTACGTAATTGTTTACTTTAATGATTGTGCATCGTATTATAAATGACCTTGCATGAAATATATAATCATAACACTATCAAATTTTATAATAATGCAGGTGAAAAATATATTTAAATTGAGGCATTATTACAACTGCAACTTATAGTAGACTCATTAGTACATTGTGACCGTTAATTGATAGTTAATTTAAAATTCATGATTGTAAAATTCATAGTGTTAAAACAATTCGAAAACTAAATAACATGCATTATTAACGTTAATAGAATATTACTCAAATAAATCTAACGATTATATACGTGTGTGTTAAAATGTATCATTAATATTATTATAATCTTGTTGATTGAGTTTACACACGGCCAAATTGAACTATAATTTTTAAAATGTCATGGTATTTATATGTCATTCGAGTAATAATGTCATCAACCTGCATAGAAGTATCAAATTCAATTTGCAAAATGTCAACATATCTGACCTACTTCCGTACACGTGAAATTATATAAAACGTAGGTTGAGTTTCAATGAATTAGATCAATTTAATTTGTTAAATTATGAGTATTTTTAATAATTCCAACATGACTTCGTCCATAGCTTCAAGGGTTGTCAAGAAAATTTACTATAGTTAGAATAAAAAATAATGTGTTTGACTTGCCTACGGCCAATGGGCAATTGTTGTTGTCCTTCATCGCTCCTGATAACGGTGGGGCCCGTCGCGAAAAGCCGCGACCCTCCCATAGAACGACCCCTTACTCTGGCTGGTTTACCCTCGGGCGCTGGTTATAATCTATAAAATAGAGAGAAAAATAAATGAATTTTATTTATATAGATTTATATCACTGCTAGAAATATATCTAATATATTCCCAACAGAAAAAAAAGGTTAACCAGTGGGTTGCCTTCATTTCAAAATACTAAGTTGAGGAATGTGCAACAAATCAGCTTATAGAGCACATATTCAAATGTATTGAAAAAAGAAACATGAATCGTTTCTGACAAAAATAATGTAAATTGGATCTCCTCCACAAGTAACTCGAACCTTTTTCGCGACCTATCTTCCTATCTATCACCACCAAAACCCATCTGATTTTGGCGTAACCCAATACTCTCGTTAGATAAGAGTTTTCGACATCTATCAGCTGTTTCTGTATAATTTTGCTATTAGTAACGCCGACAAGATAAGAAGGAAAAACAACGCCCATCAACTGTTATCCGGATGACACGATGGACGACTGGCCATATAGTTTTGCGTTACACGATTCGAATACTTAATATAAAACTACGTAGTTGTAACTGTTTTGCGGTACTTTAAATTCATTAGGTACTTTGTTAGTTGAACGAATGTGTTACAAATAGATAGCAATGACTTAAATTAATTTTAATTGAAAATATAATTTTGAGCCTCACAAGCTTGGTGCTGTTTATGGGCTCATTTTCCCATAATAACTATCTAATTTCTCAATGATCTTAAAGATGGATTCATACAATTATTTTTGAGTTGATAACATCAGGAGGTCTAGTTGTAGATATCTTGAATATTCCTGCTTTAAGAATAAAACTAATGTTCATAGTAAAAACTTCTTGCTTCTTCTTTGATGTGATCGTTGAGAATCTCACGAAGAAGAATAAAAAATTTAAGGTGTATCCCGTTTAATCTGATATTTTCTCCTGATATATTTTTGCTTTAGATACCTTAATCTTTCAGAATCCATTATATTATACATAATTCATTCAGAATATTCATCTTTCAGTCCAAAAGTATAAAAGTAAACTATATAAAACTAGCACGTATTTCAGCAGTAAAGCGTTATACAATAGAGACGTTTCCAATAATTAAAATAATTTAATTAACAAAAGTTTGTATAATTAAAACTTAATTTCTTCTTGAACAATAATGGAAGACATTGTTGTTGGATACTCTTTATACTTTAGAAGATGAAGAAAAAAAGTGATACGTATAATTCATCTTATATATTTCATAAAAATACATTTGAAAGAAAACGTTTCTAATATTTTTATAATTAAAATTATTTTTGATTAATTAACCAATTTTCTGATTTTTTTATAAACTTGTTTTCATTTACATGTTTTGAGTGATGCATAAATTAGAAATGTTTTCTGAAGTTTAATAAATGTGGTTTTAAAACGATTTTAACTACTTTTCAAACTTGTTTTAAGAACATATACCAGATCTAAACATCTGGAATTCACCTTATTTACAAACAGTTAATTGGTTTAATTACATCTCGCCGAATATGTCATTTCAGCTAGAGTTCATCGGCCTGGTTGTTATTTTACGTACCATGCATGAATCTCTAACTAAAGATAAACAACAGACCTCCCATTTACATTTCTGCATTATTCTATAATCAGATTATAGAGTAGAAATCACAATGTGAAACTTTTCTATAAGTCCGTAAAAAACTGTCGGCTTTTCATTAAACGTGATAAAAAGACGCCAGCTTGCAGATTTAATATAGAAAGTGTTATTGTTATCTCAACGTCTTGTGTTGAATAACAGGAAAATATTTCCATCGGATCCAGTTTCGTTCTGATTATCTTTTCACTTTTATTAGAATGTATTTAATTTCGCGTTTTTCTTATCGGCACATAACATTTTGTATCTATAATGATAATTCCCTTTTCTCTTCGAAATCATTAATTATTTACTACCCAGCACATGCAGTTACGGAGTTCTTTAACTTTTCGTAATATACTACTCGATTTTATTGGCATCATAAATGCACTTTCTTGTCTTCTACACTTCATTATAATAAGTAATTAATAAAGCTTTAATAATTAATAACAACACGTTTCAGTTTTTTTCCATTATCAAATACAGTAGAAATACAATGAAGGATTCTATTTCTCTTAATGGATGTAAAATGAGTTCTGATGATGATGGCGATCAGGGTTTAAATTGTTACCCCTTAATGTGTGGAGTTAAATTAAGAATCAATTTAAAACCCATTTGAGTTATATAACAGCAATTAGCGTATTTGAACTCTGGTTATATCATTGAACATTCATTTAAAAATTTCTACTGGGTAACGAAATCAGGAAGTAGTAGGAAATATTAAGGTAAAAATGGTAAGCAGAATTGAATTCACATTTTTTATCAAAAATAAAGATGCAATATATCTTGAAATTAGGAAGGACTACAAATCATCTACAGAGATGAAATTTTCGAAAATAAATTTATTTAAATAATTAAATATAGTCTAATTTGTTTCTCGAGTATTCTGATGGGCTTCCCTGTGGTTTAGTGGTTAGAGGTTTGGCTTCCAGACAGCCTGATGTCAGTTATTATTGGCATTGGGTTTTACTTGGAAATTTAGATGGCAATATGTTTTCAAAGGAAAATAGACAAAGTCTAGGAGAAAAGTATAAAGTCAAAGTTATAAGTAAAAAGTAAAAATGGTAATAATAAAAATGTGTTATTTATAAATATGTTGTCCTATAAATTACATACTCTTATTATAAACATAATACTTTTCATTTGATGTATCAATGCCGGGGGAAGTCTAATTTCCTTTGAAAACACATTGCTATCTAAATTTTGGGTTGCCTTCCAGGAAAGCCAGGTGGATAAAAATTATCAATAAAGCAGTTTTAAGAACCATCAGGATAAGTTCTGATTGTTGTTCAAATGGGCTATAAGTTCTGATGGGCTTTCCCGTGATTTAGTGGTTAAAGCTTTGGCTTCCAGGTAGCTTGTTGTCAGTTAATATTGGCATCGGTTAAAATTTAGACGTCAATATGTTTCCAAAAGAAGTAGACCTTCCCCGGCATTGATGCATCAAATAAGAAGAAATTTTAACAATAAAAGTATGTCAAATATAAATAGGACAAAGTTGGGTTGCCTTCTAGAAAAGCCAGAAAGTTAATACGTATCATCACAGCTGAT